GTGCGTTTGCGCCATTCCGACATGGTTTCGACGATTCGTCTTCGAACCCCCCGCGAACTGCTCGAACCAGATAGTACCGGGCAACCGGCCGCGGAAACTGGAACAAGCGGAAACTTACTATTGTCGCTTGGGGACTGGGGTGTGGTTGGCGCGTCGCGCCGGAGCGCGCTGGGCCGGAACTGGCGACGCGACTCGCGGAGCGCTCCCGGCCGTACAACCCTGCTGCTCTGCTCCTCTCAGAATAGTCAGCACAGGCAGCGCGCGCGGAGGCGGCCGGCCCAGCAAGCACGTGAAGAGTGCGCGGCGAGATTCCGAGCCACGCCACGTGTTCACGAGGTCGCCGCACTTCCGCCCGAGCCTGCCGCAGATTCGCAGCGGGCCTCCCTCTTCAGAGACCTCCTCCTCCTCCTCCTCCTCCTCCCTCCTCCTCCCTCCTCCTCCCTCCTCCTCCCTCCTCCTCCCTCCTCGCTCGCAGCGGAGATTCGAGTCGCAAGCCTCCTCTTCAGAGATGGCCCTGTGATTCTTCACTCGACCCGTTCGACGAGGCCGCGGCGGGCAGGCCTCGCCTGCGAGCGAGAAAAAACCGATCCTGCACCGGAGCCGCGGCGAAAGCTGCAGGCACGTCGCTCATCTCTAACCGTGCTCACTGCTAATCGTGCTCGTCTCTACTTGTCCCTGGCCCCCTTATATGGCCAGGAGGAGGCCCAGGATAGAGTAATCAGAAATGAGAGGATCTTGGCCCCAAAAAATTTCGAATAGTTATAGGGGAACAAAAAATGGCATAAACATAAAAACTCGGAGGTCCGCGCGGACCTCCGAGCTTTTGTGTTTATGCCACTTTGTTTCCCTAAATTAGAAGTGAAACATCAAAGCACTTTCGAAGAATTAGACAGCAACAGTGTGTATGCATGGAACTAAGCCGTCGGAGCTTTCCGCGGCTCTCGGCGCGGCGCCAGGGCCCCTCTTTATGCCCGGCACGCGAAGCCCGCCGTACAGGGGCGGCGCAGGAGGCGCTGCCAGAGAGGCCCAGCGCCAATCCAAGAGATCCCTCGCGGAACTCCCACAGTTTGTGCCAATCCGATGCTGTATTCTGCCAACCTCCTCCTCCTCCTCCTCCTTGATCGAATGATCCTAATCCTTTATCTCCTCTGCCTCCGTCCCTCGCCAGGGACTGCGTCTGCCGGCTCGTGTGCGTGAGTTCGTCACCCGTTGCGTGGCGAGCGGGCCCCCGTGCGAGATTCGCTTATCGAGTGGCAGACTTCATTGACGGCTCCACGCCTGCGCCTGTAAAGCGCCGCCAGATGCTGGCCGAGGGTGTAGTAAAAACCTACGGCAGGAGACCTGGTACGCAGAAGGCCTCTATACCCCACCACCGCGCCAAGCTAGGACCGTCCTAGGGCCCAGGACGGTCCTGGCCTGACACGGTGGTGGTGTCTAGACACCTTCGTCGGATTGCGAAGGAGGATCGAGCACATCCGTTGGTGATGCTCGAGGGCCCCGGGCTGCCCCAGGGCGCCCGTGGGCCCCCTGCGGCACAACCGGGGGGAGAAGAAACGCCTCCGTAGGGGCACCCGCCGGCGGGCCGCCGATGCGCCTGCTGCCTCTCTGCGAGTCGGCGGGTGCCGGCCCAGGGCATCCAGGCGGCGCCCCGCGGCGTGCCTCGCCGCAGAGACCTCTGGAGCAGCGCCTGCCGTCGGACCTGCACCCAGAAGGGCATCCTTCACAAGAGAACACGAGGCCCTGCGCGGGCCAGAGGGAAGAGCAGCCGCGGGTGCCCTCCCCAGGATGCACAGGCACAGCCATCAAGCACGAAGAACACGAGGGCATCCGCCAGACTGTGCACAAGGCCGAAGAGCACCTCGGGCGGCAATGACTGCACAAAGTTCTGCCCCATGGAATACGGTGCGGATCTCTGACGGTCTCAATCTCACATCGGGCGTTGGCAGAACTGGGTTTGGTGGGACCTGGTCTAGTGTGATGTGTACTGGGGGACGCCCCCCCCGCCCCGTTTGGCTGACCGGAACTGCCGTCACCCGAACAAGACACCAGTTGCGGCAAACCTGGTTTCGTGATTCCGGCCAATTCAAGGGCTGCGGAACCCTACCACCAACCAGGGTCCCCTTACCCGGGGTCCTGGCTACCCAGACCTCCGACGTCGTGATTTTTTCACAACGTCGACCCCCAGAGGTCTGGACCTCTTCCCCGGGACCGGTTTTTCATCCTGAGCCGCTTTTTGACGGTCCCGCTGCCGAAGAAGGGCCCCCAGAGGGAGAAAATAGCGAAAAACTTCCCGCCACGATTTTCTCCCAACGCGAGGGGTCCTGGCTACACCCGATCTCATGCCTCGGTCCGACTTCGCTCGGGAACCAGGCGAGGCCCCGCTCCCTGGCGCGGCCCGCCCGCCCACCGGGGCTCGCGCGGGCCTGCTGGCGGAGGAGGCTGCTGCCCCTCCTCCTCCTCCTCCTCCCCCTCCTCCTCCTCTCCTCCTCTCGCCCTCCCTCCCTCCTCCCCTCCCACCCTCCCGCCCTCCCCCCTCCAAAAATGATCCCTCACCATCCCTCTCTCTCCTCCCCTCCCTCCTCCCTCCCTCCCTCCCTTCCCCCTCCGAATCCCCCCTCCCTTCCTCTCTCAAACCTCCCCTCGTCCTCCCTCTCCTTCCTCCCTCTCCTCCCTCTCCCTCTCTCCTCCCTCTCCTCCCTTCTCCTCCCTCTCCTCCCTCTCCTCCTCTCCTCCCTCTCCGCCCTCTCCTCCTCCTCCTCCTCCACCTCCTCCTCCTTCCTCCTCCTCCTCCTCCTCCTCCTCCTCTCCTCCTCCACCCTCCCTCCTCGTCCTCCTCGTCCTCGCTCCTCCTCCTCCTGCCACCCTCCTCCTCCTCCTCCTCCTCCTCCTCCTCCTCCTCCTCTCCTTCTTTCTCCTCTCGTGTGAAGTTCTCGCGCCGTGCCCCCCCCCCCAGGCCCGGAGCTGCCCCCCAGGGGGATGCTCAGCCTGGAATGCCCGCGCCGTCGTCGCCGCCGCGTCACCAGGATGGCTCATACAGTCGGACCTGGGCCGGAAGAGCACGCCTAAAGAACAGGAGACCCTCTGCCGGCCAAAGCACACAGAACATGCAAGGGTCTTCCCCCTCCCAGGATGCACAAGAACATCCAGCAAGCACGAAGAGCATGAGGGTACCCTCCCCGGACCGACCTCGATCTTACACCTCGGTCCGGCTGTATAGGTAGTGCTTGGCTTCGCGCTCCAGAACTGGTCTCTGGACCCCAGGGCTTCCTGATCACAACCGCCGCACCCCTCTCCACCTGCGCATCCGTCTCGCTGCCAGGACGGCTCGAGACGGCTCCAGGACTGCCTCCGAGACGGCCCAAGACGCATCAAGAAAGGCTTCGAGAGGCCTCCGAGGCGGCCGAAGAGACCCCGAGAGCAGCCCAGGAGGCCCCAGGGGCGACAACCAAAAAGGCCCCCCAGGAGGGCCCAGGTGGGCCCCAAGAGGCCGCCAAGATGGCCTCGCAGGCCCCAGGAGTGGCCCAAGCGACTCCAAGATGCCCCAAGAGGTCGAAGAGAGGCTCCCAGAGGAAGCCCTCTGACTAGTTGACGACGACGTGCTGCCACCGGCCCTCTGCAACGATAAGAACCCATGTGAGAGGCCTCGGTGGGGCTCGGACGCCCTCAATTCCTCAACGGCTCTGGTCGGAAACGATATAAGTTCTCGGTCAAAACAATCGGCCGCACAGTCTTCGCCAGAAGCAGGGGTCCGCCGTGACTCGCTGGGGGCATCCTCGATGAACTGTCGCCTGAACGTTCCTTGCGAGCATGCCCTCGATCCCAGTTTCCTCTCTCAGGCCTTGCATCTCCCTCCCGCGTCGCTCCCAGAGTGTGCAAGCATCCTACTATCACATCTGTGGCAGTGCTTGCAGCACCGGTTTGCCAGGTGGAGGCTCCGACTGAGGTCACGCATGTTGAAGATGTAGTGGAACCTGCGACCAAACATAAGGCAGGCATGGGATGGAACGCCATCAGGACAGATCGACGAAGGTCCAACGAGCGTGGCTCAATGGAGCCACGCCGCGAACAAAATATCTATGAACAGTCCATCGCACCGTAGATGATACTCGGCATACCAACTTGAAATGACATATGCCCTCGAACGTGTCGCAAATCTTCGCCCCGCCAGACGAGCGCTGGACATACACGGGCGGCACTGACTCAAACACATGAGCGCCGACATTGCTTATCCAGCGCCCCCAGCCAGCCCGGAGACCGGCTCGATGAACACATTCGGAGCCCGCCACTGGGGCGTGTGGCCCAGATGCGGCAGTGGCAAGCATGGCGCAGATGCAGGCGTGGACCAGAGGCGTCGGGCTTCCTTTTGCTCGTCGTCATCCGCGTTGTCCCAGTCCTCCGCGTCCCCTTCCCTTCCGCCCCCGGGCGCCCGTCTCCAACACTTCCAGCCCACACGCTCGATGGCCCGCAGCAGCTACGGGCACTGGCTGGCGCCCCCCCCCGACCGCGCGCGGTCCTGCAGCGTGGTGCGCCCTTTGGCCGCGGCCCCCGAGCGATGGGGAAACCAAAAGGATACCGATGCCGCTACAGTAGGAGCTCAACCACAAGAAGCCTTCCACAAAAGACCCAACCCTGAGACCCCGGACGTCAATTGATTTTTGTTGATCAGGGACCGACCGTCCCGGCATTCCTATAGTCATACCACAAATTTTCTTAGAACCCAAAAATGTTCTAAGAACAAAAAACCATGTTCTTAGAACATAAACCCGATGTGTTAAAACATGACAGTCCCAGCCAGAAATGTTCTACGAACATTTCGTGGGAACCACAAAAGGTTCTTAGAACATTGCTTGGTAGGGCTATAGGCGAGCCAGGACGCTTCGCCACTGCTTGATTTTGATGTGGGAAACGCACGCGTTCCATAGCAGAGCCATCGAAACCAAAGAAACCAAGGGCTCCCTGGAGGCAAGCAGGGTGTTTCTTGACATGGGTTTCCACCGTACTCCCCAGACCTCTCCCAAGGCGCGCTCTGGCCAAGACTTCGAGGCGAATGCAGCTATAGCGACGAGGAATGCGTATAGCGGCATGGACATCGTGTCAGGAGGGGGAGGAGGAGGGGGAGGAGGGGGAGGAGGGGGAGGAGGAGGAGGAGGAGAAGGGGGGGGGGGGAGGGGGTGTGGGGGGGGGGGGGGGAGGAGGAGGAGGAGGAGGCGGAGGAAGGAGGAGGAGGAGGAGGAAGGAGGAAAGAGGATGAGGAGGAGGGGAGGAGGAGGAGGAGGAGGCGGCCAGGAAGCTTTGCATGGTGCGTCGCGGCGACGGCCCCGGCGACACGCGGTGCCTTGCGAACGGATACCGTGTCGCTTCGCTCCGCAAAGCGGGAGGCCGGGAACAGCTCGGGACGTTGGCGCTTGGGGACCAGGACGTGGATAGCGCGTCTCGCCGCAGCGTGGTGGGCAAGAGTCAGCGGAGCGACACACCATCCTCAACGGTGAGCCCGCAGGGGAAGTGAGAAAGGGCAGGCCTTCTCGGAAGACGGTGGGGCTTCTCAGGAGCTCTGGCGCCTCCTGAATGCAGGGTCCTCGGGGGAGGCTCAGAGCACCTCCCAGGAGGCATGGAAGGCCTCCGAGCCTTCCGAGAAGGCCCGCCTCCGCCGCCGAGATCCACACGTTCCCGACTTTGTAGGCCCCGAAAACGGCAGGGCCGGTTTTTCACCGTTTCCAAAAAAATGCCCCGTGAAAATGAGAACGGCAAAAAAACGGCGACCGGAAACGGCAAAAAAACGGCTCCAGGATTGGAACCGGAGCCGGAACCGGTCAAAAAACGGCGACGGAACCGGTAAAAAACGGCAAAACGGAACCGGTACAAAAACGGCAGAACGGAACCGGTAACAAGAACGGTCCTGTCGTTTCCAGGGCCCACTAAGGTTCCCGACCCGTGAGGCATCTTGCCTTAAGTCGGGCCTGTCCCCCTACTACAGGGGGATTTTCGACGAAATGAAAAATACACCCAAAAATAATAAAAAAATAAGCCAAAAATAGTCTGGGGACTATTTTTGGAGTATTTGTTGACCCTTTTGGGGGTACTTTTGGGGGTATCTTATACTTTTCGTCGAAAATCCCCCTCTGTAGGGGGACGCGCCCGACTTAAATCTTGCCAGGAGCAGGTCCGGGGGGGGCACGTTCGTTGAGGGGCACGTTCGTTACCAGCCTGGGGCATATCCCTATCCCTATGCTGGGCACCTCCTCATCACGATGCCAATCTCAGGGATCCCCCTATTTTTTGAGGGCGAACCCCTAAGATTGGCATCGCCTTTTGGCGTGCCAATCTTAGGGATAGGGATAAGGTCGAGGCTGGCACGTTCGGCCTCGAGCTCTGCGAGCTGCCCGCGGAGGGCCCTTTTGGGGTACTTGTTTTTGTGTATCTTATATGTTTGGGGGTATTTTTTGCCCATTTTGGGGTACTTTTTTGGGGGGAATCTTATATTTTTCGTCGAAGGCCCCCCTCTGTAGGGGGACACGCCCGACTTAAACATCTTGCCAGGAGCTGGTCTGGGGGGGCACGTTCGGCCGCGAGCTCTGCGAGCTGCCCGCGGCGGGCCCCCGGCGCGCGCTCGCGCGGGCCCCCAGAGAGGGGGCCGGCCGGCGCGGAGGCACAGGAGGCCACCCGCTGGGCGCCCGCTGGCCGCCCCATTGTTCTGAAGGGGCCCCAGGACACACAATATGGAGCCCATGGGGAGCACGAGATCTAGAAGAGGACACAAAGGCATAAAAGCAGAAACTCTGGGCGCTCCGCGCGGGATTCCTGGATCCGCGCTGACGCCCCCCCCCCATCCTGGCGCGCAGAGCGCGCTGGGGGCGGCGCCGGGGGCGCCGCCAGGGGGCCCCAGCGCGGATCCAAGAAATCCGCGCGGAGCGCCGAAAGTTTCTGTTTTGAAGGGGCCCTGGGACACACAAAGAAATACACACAAATAGCCAGATTCCCCATACTTTCCTACATCTTTTCTGGGTGTCTGGCTTCCCCCCCACTTTTCCCATATGTTTTCCCATATTCTTCGGGGGCATCGAGGCTTCTTTGTGTCTGTGTGTTTCTTTTCTTCCTGATGCTCCTGCGAGCTCCGGCGGCGAGCTTGGGGGGGAAGTGCAGCGGAGGCCAGTCCACAAGAAAGCTTCCACAGGAAACCAAACCCTGAGACCCCGGACGTCCATTGATTTTTGATGTGGGAAACGCACGCTTTCCATAGCAGAGCCATCGAAACCAAAGAAACCAAGGGCTCCCTGGAGGCAAGCAGGGTGTTTCTTGACATGGGTTTCCACCGTACTCCCCAGACCTCTCCCAAGGCGCGCTCTGGCCAAGACTTCGAGGCGAATCCGAATCCGAGCTTGGGGGGGAATGGCAGCGGAGGCCAGTCCACAAGAAACCGTCCACAAGAAACCAAACCCTGAGACCCCAAAATATCCATTTGACTTTTCTCCCGGAAAGGGCATATAGGCCCAAGGTTCTCTTTTGGTTTGTTTACCCCCGGTTTTGACCTGGGGTGGGCCGGCGAACTTCTTTCGCGATGAATATCGAGGCCGAGCTGGGTCGGCGAATTCAAATTTGAGGACGTCTCGAGTGAAACGCTTGTCTTTCAGAAATTGTTGAGGATGTCTCGAGCGAAACGCTTGTTTTGTGTTATAGATTGTCCTCTCATGGGGACCTGAACTCAGAGGATCTCTCAAGTGGAATGCTTGTTTTCCCGTGCCCTGGTCTTGAGGATGTCTCGAGCGAGACGCTTGGTTTGACGCCTCCAGGTTGCCCAGACAGATGTCTAGCATGAGGATTTGTTGAGGATGTCTCGAACCAGAGGCTTGTTTTCACGTGTCCAGGTCGCCCAGGCGGATGTCTAGCATGAGGATGTGTCGAGAAGTCTCGATCGAGACGCTTGTTTGCACGTGTCCAGGTTGCCCAGGCGGATGTCTAGCATGAGGATGTGCTGAGAGCGTCTTGAGCGAAACGCGTGTTTTCACGTGTCCAGGTCGCCCAGGCACAGCACAGCCCTCGGCACGGTACATCAATATCGATACCCTTAGCATTGCAGTTTGGCATGTTTCCTGGCACGTTCCGCGGAGCGTCCCGTGGCGAGTCCCCCTGGCACGTCGCGCGGTGCACGTCCATTGGCACGTTCCATAGCGCGTCCCCTTGGCACGTCCCGCGGTGAGTGCCCATGGCACGTCCCCTGGCACGTTGCCTGGCGCGCCCCTTGGGACGTTGCGGCGCGTCCTCCTGGCATGTCCCCCCGTCGATTAGTTCTGGGGCAGCTACCATCTGCTCAAGCAGCTCGAGCTTCAGATCCAGATCAGTTCGGTCAGGACTCGGATGCAAAGAGGACTCGATCCACAACGCTATATAGAGCACAATCGCGGCATGGCACATCGCAGTTCAGCACGGCCCAGCACAGCACAGCCGTCGGCACCGTACATCAAGATCGATACACTCAACATTGCACCTTGGCACGTTCCTTGGTGCGTTCCGTGGCGAGTCCCCCTGACACGTCGCGCGGCGCGTCCCCTGGCACGTCCCGCGGCACGTCCATTGGCACGTTCCGTAGCGCGTCCCCTTGGCATGTCCCGCGGTGCGTGCCCATGGCACGTCCCCTGGCACGTCGCCTGGCGCGTCCCTTGGGACGTTCCGCGGCGCGTCCTCCTGGCAAGTCTCCTCTGTCGATTAATTCTGGGGCAGCTACCATCTGCTCAGGCAGCTCGAGCTTCAGATCCAGATCAGTTCGGTCAGGACTCGGATGCAAAGAGGACTCGATCCACAACGCTATATAGAGCACAATCGCGGCATGACACATCGCAGTTCGGCACAG